GGCTACTCAAATATTTTACGTTTTTGATACTAAGTTAACTTCTGAAGTATAATTTTTTATTGTTTTTATATTTTTCAATATATTTATTTTGTTTGTACAAAATAAAAAAATAATTTTTAACGATACAATAGCCATGATTATTATTTTAAAAAGTTTACGTTAGGCTTAACATCGACGAAAATTCAACGCGAAGCGACACGCAACGGAGAAAAATTTCAACACGGGATAAATTAATATATTTTTTTGTACATAATTGGTTATCCAAAAAATAAGTTATCCGAACAACCCCAGTCCCCAATTGATTTGGATAAACTCTACTGTATTATTATACATTTCTGTGTGCATATGTTTGTGTGTTATTTAACATATATTATTATACAAAGTAATATAAAAATAACTTAAAATAAAATTTTTTTATTTTCAGTCATGTGTTTCCCTATCCCTATTTACTTTCTTAAAATGACCTCATTTAGCGCTTTGTCATCTAGGAATGCATCCTCCATGTTAAGCTGGGTCTTACTGTATTATCTTTCCTTTATGCGCATTGAAATGTAATTTAAATAGCATCATCATCAATGATTCATATCATGATACAAAGTGATCTCGGTGCCACCAACTTCTGAATCAGTGGTCCTGTCCTTGATTGGTTGGGCTGCCAACTTTCTTTAACATAAGAAGTATAGACAGTTGACCGTTGGTGGCCTTTGCCAAATTGCTTGTTTGGAAACAGTTATCATACAGCAACCAGAACAAATATGACATATAAAATTTTGTTCATAAACCAGGGGTGTTCATAACCCAAGATTTGACTGTATTATCTATATATGATAACTTCTTCCTGAGATTATGCTGCATATTTTTGAGACATCCTATATAACATTTAATAATAACAATGCAAATCATCATTTTTGTATATAAGTAAAATTTTTATTTAGGAAAATGATTTTCTTAAATTTTAAAAATAGATAAGTTATTTGGTATTTATTGAAATCTCTAAAGTATCTTGATAATTTATACATATTCCTAATTTTAATATTTCTGATTGTTTTGTTTTGCAGCAATGAAGCCTCATGAAATTCAAGAAAAGTTAGGACTCACTCGAATAAGGGATCGTAACTGGTATGTTCAGCCGTCTTGTGCAACCACTGGAGATGGCCTATACGAAGGACTAACATGGTTAACATCCAATCACAAGTCCTGAAGACAATCTGACATTATGTTACATATTCACCATGTGAATCTTGTTTTTCCCTTAGTCCCAATTCCTTGTTTTTTCACAGCTTCATCTTATCATTCATACAATATGTATTTCGAACCATTCGGGTTCACCGTCTTCCCGCTTTCCAGAAGGCACGTGGCTTTGCCGGGGTGGAAGAGTCGTCTTCGTCCGGGTCGATGCGGAGCGGCGGGCGAACGGAACATTACCTCAGAGGATCGCACGCGCCCGCCGTCGACATCATTCTGTATATAGTACGTCGGTATTTGTCCACCAGGAAAATAACAAAGTATGACGGATCACATCTAATTCTAAGTAACGAATACTAGCTGTGGTCTGCATGTTGTATGTATGAATTTATGCATACATGATTCCATTTAATTGTCACTCATCTTGACCAAGTTATATTTCGTTTTGTTAAAAAGAAGTCTTATTATGTTTTATTTTTTGAATTTGTTTATTTAAGTCTACCCCGATAGCCAAGATAAACATTTAGAACCAATTTAGAAACTCCGTGGCAGCTTGTGTTGTCGCCGTTTTTCTTCGGCATCTAGTTGACTTTCGAACACAAGTACATAATATGAAACAGCAAGTGATATCCAGGAAAAAAACTGGACCAATTAGTAAGACTTTAGTTGACAGTTGATAAATATAAATAATCTAATTAGAAGCAACACATATGTCTAGTGCGCTTGCAATATAAATTGGTCATTTTTATCTGGCTGTAGCTGTGCAATATATCATTTTGGTAAACCAAATAAGTTTTGATGCTTCAAAATGTTTATTTATATATATATAAATATAATATACATAAATATATATTAATGGGTACTTTACCTCTATTGTTGACTCTTCACAAATGCGTTTTAGTTCCAAATACTGAATGTGATAACAGCACTAATAATGATAAATGTTCTTTCCTACGTCCACCTTTGTTACTCCATTTCTTTATAACACTCTAGCCAGAAAATTTTCTTGATGTGATGGATCAAAAAAATTTTGTTTATGAAAAAACATTATTTGATGGTTGTTAGCAAAGACTATTGATAACTTACAGTAATTATTATTGGTTGGGAAACTTTGTATAGCTGTCGATAAAAACGTTAATTAAAAAAAACTGGAAATATGTGTTGGTGATTTTGTATTTATAAATTTTAGTCATTCTTTTTTATTAATACAATAAAATTAATTTAAATACAGATTTTGTTTTCTATTAGAATAAATTTCAGATGAAAATTTTCAATTTTTGCAAGATTTTCTTTGACATTTAGCCTGCCAATATTGCAAAGGGTCATATCTTATAGCAGAAATTAATGAAATATTGTCAGAGTTTGTGTTACACAACATAGTAAATATTAATATCACAATGTAGCTTAAAATATATTTTTAATTAAAGAATATTTACAAAGATCATAACATATCTTCATCTAGTAACATTCTACCAAATTCTCCTTTTCTAAATCCTTTAAGAAAATAATCTGCTGCTGCTTTAAGATTTGGTTTAAGTATCTTTTGGCCATCTGAAAATAAAACATATTAATTATTTAGAAATTTCTAAGTTTTTTCTGCTAAAAATTGAAATTTTCATGAAATTGTTTTGAAAGAACACAAGATTGAAGTGCATTTATATGTTAATATAGGTTATTTTTGTAAAAGTTCTTTAAGTATTAATCTTACACACTAAAAACTGTTGAAGATCAGACAAGGGAAAACATTTTGGTGATTAACAGTGCAATTAAAATATTTGGTTTTATTGTAAAAAGTGAACCAACATAAACCTAGTTTTGGAAAAAATACAAATAAAGATTCCTTTGTTATTTGTACTTTAAAAGGCAGAATTGCAAAATATAATTGCTGTACAGAATGTTCTCTATTTTCTTCTAAATCAGAATATAGTACCCAGTTTAATTTCAACATAAGCACATTCTACAAACATATGCTTACTGTGTATCATATCAATTTCAGACTTTCCATTGGCTCCTGTTTTGAAAAAAAGTTGCATAGTAGAGCTGAACAATGCAGTATGCCATAAAATTGTATATCTTTCTGATTCAGCATTGAATTCAAACATGTCTCTGTATAGTTTTTCTTGGTTGCAATCATGAAGTGCAGATCTGTTCAAAAATTTTTCTTTTCATTTGCACAACTTGCAGTTTTTCTTTCTTGGAGCTTTTGATGACAACCTCTGTCTAATGATCAGAGCTAACTACAAAATATAGCATAATACTGGTGCAAATATGTAGCAGAAGCAATTATGCAAGAGTATAGTTGATTGGTAGTGGGCTATTTGATGGTAAAGTTGCCATGCACTCTGCCCCTTCTTTTCATAAGGCTTAATTTCACTTCCAAAAATAGTGTCATGGTTTAAAGTCGTAAAAGAACATTTTATACTAATTTTGGGATGTTTTGTCTGATTAAAATATTCAAAGGGAAAGCAGTTGGACACCATTAAAAACTGCATGGACTTTCTGCATGGCTTTATACATAGTACAACACACAGACCATGCAGAGAAGCCTTGCAATTTTCCCATCCACTTTTGATGGCATCCTGCTTCCTCTCTGAATGTTTTAACCAGACAAAAAACATTTTATGCTAATTTTGAGATGCTCCACAGCACAGCTTAAATTATGAAGTTGTAATCTTTTGTAAAAGTCAAGATAGAATTTGCCCCATGAGAGGAGAGGGGTGGAGATGCATGATGATTACGCCATCAAATAGCCCAGTACTAATTAACTATACTCATTTGCACTTGTATTTAGCTAAAATATAGCATAAACAAGCCATATTCTAATGTAATGTTTTGTCTACACCCTGTATATTCTAATGTTGAACATTACAATTTTGATGACCAAATATGTGCATCAGATTGTTTTCAGTCATTACAATGCTGCCATGATCTTGTCAAATCTGACAAGGGATTTTGCACAACTTTCAGCTGTGTGTTACCTTCTTTTATATAAAGATGTAATTGTTTAATCTCATAACAGTTTTTGGGGTAAAAAGTAAGTTTCATCAAGTGCAACCCAACTTGAGATATGTCTTATGATCTCCTCCACCCCTTTAACCATCAAAATTTAATATTTCTATATATGGGGAATTGATGCTAATCCCATCAATTGAAAATTCTTGGTTCATCCAGTTGTAAGATACATAGAATTTTGTATGTTATAATGCAAAATAGATGAAAGGTTTTTTTTATATTTGACTGACCACCATACTTTCTCTATGTTACATTCTATAAAAGCTGGGAAATAAAAATTGGACAATTTTTTGTTTTGTTCACTGTAGTTTTTACTAAAAGCAATAAGTACCTTACCCTGGTTTTGGTTGGAAATAACTTGAAGTGCTTCAATTTATTGCAGAGCATACCTACTGATGTCTACTACTTTGCAAGTCATGTGTAGACAAAACTGACTTTTACTTTCTTGGCTGTTATGTATACATAACAAGGGAAAGTAGTGTAATTGTGTCTGATTTGACCCTCTATGTTTTGAGACCCTTGAACCCAAATAAGTAAAAATTCCAGGTATATGTGTTGGCATCTATTTTATTTAACATCTCAAGATGGGGTGAAGATTAATAGCATCAATGTCACTTATACTGTACACAAACTATCATGCCAAATTTTCCTTCTTAAATTTTTGTGATGGGGAGGGAAGATATAGGGTGATCACATCTTGCATGGGGTTGGGCTTAATGAAGATTTTACTTCTTGTTAGCATTTACAGATCTTTAAAAATACATAAAGAACTTAATTATAAATCTCATCTCTACCCTCAAAATTATTATAACAAAATCTGTTATAAGATTTGATTTTATTTTAAAAATCACTTTTTAATTATTAAATAGCCAAGTTATGTAACTTATTGCTAGATTTTTTTTCAAATGNATTTATAGCAGATGGCACCATACAAAATTTTAACTTCGATCTAGAAAAATGGATTATTATAGAATGTTTCCTTCTATAATAATCCATTTTTAAAAATAAATATTCTTTGTTGAAAAATAGAGGAATTTCTTCAAAATTACTCCTTTCATGCTTTTATTATTATTATTATTATGTTGGGTTTAGTGGGTTATACTTGGTTCACACTGGTGGCTGTGTACTATGTCGGACCAGAGTTAAGGCATAGCAACTAAAACAAAACTAAAATTAAATAAGTGTGTCAGTGTCTGTGTCTGTATTCAGGAATTTCCTAACAATATGGCATGTATTCAATATAGTGGCCTTCTGTAGTGTGATGTATGTATTTCTATGCAATTGTAATGTTCTCAGGCTATTGTGTAGTGTCTGTGGTATCACATCTGTACAAGAGAGAACGACAGCTACAATAAACACTCTTTCCATCCTCCACAGATACCTTATTATTATTATTTAAATTTTTTATCAAACCATAATTGAAAATGATAGTACTTCCTTCCTGGTTTCTTTAACCTTGTTTTGGTGCTGAGAAAATCATCCAAATGCATTACAACTTCTTTTTATTTGCAAATAAAAAATTATTTTCATAAACTAAAAGAAAAGATTTTGATGATACAAAAAAGTATAAAAACTGTTTTGAACAAAAATAATCTATAAATTTAAATTGGTTGCTTTCGAAGAATATGTAATGTACTTTTTTTAAACTGGAAATTACATTTAGTTTATTCACATTTAAACAGAAATTTTGCAAAGCCCAATGTTTTTTTAAAAATTCAGAATTTTTACAAGAATTTAATTTATTTAACTCTGTTTTTATGTGTATTACGTGACATATTTAGTTCTGTCAACACATGATTTGTTAATTATATTTTCTAAAAATGGGGAGCATGTCTTAAAACATTTGTTGTTTAAATAAAAATTCAAATTACAGCTTTCTTTAAAAAGAAAGTTATAATTTTAATGTTTTTAAAGATTACTTTGTTTTTTTATTAAAATTAAATCTTATTGAAGTCAGTAGGCTCATAATTTTTAAATAATTACTATATTTAATACCAAACAAGACACAATATCTTGAGAAAAGTTTCTCAAAGAAATTCATCTTGCATCTAATAAGACAATTATTAAATTGTTGTAGGTCTATGGTGTTGCATTTATAAACATTAGACAAAAACTCACTTGCCTCTTAGACTGATCAGAATGAAATACACACAAAGAAAAGAAGAAGAAAATGCTTATATATCTAGAACTAGCTTGAAGCAAATAAATCACTTGATGCATTCATTTTGTTTATTCCCAGTATAAGTGATTAAACTAATTTGTCAATTACTTTATTTTTATAGTTATGAATATATCCTCATTTAATAACTTTAACTTGCCTTAAAATCTGTTATGATAAGCATGACAATATGAACATGATAACTTTTTTTATTAGGATATAAAATCTTATAAGATAAATTTCACATTTTAAAATATGCTCCAGCAGCAATTTTAATGAACAAAAATGTTTTCTATGTAAGTTTATAGGTCATAATTAGTTGAACGTTACATCAAAAATGTTTTTGTTTATTAAACTTGTTGCTGGATGACATTTTAAGATGTGAAATTTATTTCTGACATTCCCTCCAGTTTCTAGAACAGTTAAGTTTTATTTCTATTCTGGACATTATTAGTTATCTTATTCAAGTTTACTGAAACTCTTTACAATGAAAATATACAAATTCATCTTTGAGCGAAGGTGTATTTTTGTTGGATTCTGCATTAAAATGACGCATGTAACAGTTCATCAAAATGTTATTTTTTTCCTCTAAATAATCTTTGTTAAATTGTAGGTGTGTTTTATATGGCAGAAAATATGAAAATAGGATAATATAATGCTTGCTTGTTAGGAAAACATTTCTGACAATTTTAACTGTCAAAAAAAAGTGGCACCAGAAATTGATGAATTGTTACAATTTTTGTTATGAATGGTCTATATTGGGAGTGAGGGATTGAAGCCTTTGAGGCAAGTGAAGCAAGCAGGGAGGTTGGGATATCTACAGTGGCCAGGGAAGAAAAATAGAAATGAATTACCAAGAATATATGAATTACTGTTTTTGAATTTCAAAAAATGTGAATTACAAATTTTTGAACAAAAGGTTAAAGCCCGTGGGATGCGTGAGTAAAACAGGTGAGGGTGAATCCCTCTAGTAGTTTTATATTTATTTATTTATTATATTAATACTAGTATTAAATCATGGTTTAGTTCTATGATTAGAAATTTAAATGAACTTTAATTGTACTGTACATGTTTTTTAAAATACAATTATTTCTAAAACTTTTAAATATAGTCCTCACATTCAGCTAATCAAATAATGTATTTGCTTTTGCTTTGTAGAGAAGAGTAATTATTTAAGTTGCTCATTAACACATTTACTGTAGATGCATGCATGTCATGAGAACTTCCTATATTATATTGATGATGATGTATGTCAGAGTCCATTATTTTATGTACAGGTTTTCGTTTAGTCAACAAAATATTTTGTAATAAGTTTGAAGTTTATTTGACTAGTTAAATTGAGATTTTAAATTATTAAATATTTATCTCATATTGAATATAA